ACAAAAATGTCCCCAGACTCTGAGAAATGCCCCTGGGGGACAAAAAATAACCCCAGCTAAGAAGCACTGATATAGAAGCAAGTAATCCAAACTGCACGTCAGAAAGAAACTGGATACAGTCCAAAATGCCAGGCAGAACAGAGGAGAGCTTCACATGAGCAGGCTTGCTGGAACACAGCACTCACATGAGGGAGGATGGGGGCCTACACTCGTCAGTGATGTCATTCAGGATGACGTGCGCGTCCTGCATCTCCTCCCTCTCACCCTTCCGCTCAGCCACATAGCCTTTGAGACCAAAGATCACCGAAGAGGCTGGGGAAGAGAACAAAAAGCCAATACAAAACTGTGTCCTGCCCTCTGGAAGCCCCCATCCCAGAGCAATGAGAGAAGGCTCAGCAGCTTTACTCAGCAGTGCCCTAAAGACACAAACAAGCCAATGACGGTCCTCAAGACTGCTCCCAGCTGCACGTCTTAACCACAACCAGAGCACTGTTGGCTAGGCTGGGCTGAGAGGCTGCACGTGGGGCAGGAGCAGGGACGGGGGGTGGGGAGATGGTCAGCAAGCACAGACACACTCTGCCTAAGGAGGTCAGAGAGAGAGCAGCAGGAGGTCAAGGGAAGTACTGTTATACTGCAGAGATGGAACTGCACCAGGGAAAGGGATCCTACGCAAATCCAGTCTTGTGATAATTTAATGAGGACATAAAAACTCCCAGTTTGGGAAAACTGTAGAGTACACCCCAAATACCTTGAAAATATGTATCCAAGTGAGGCTGGTCAAGAATGTCAATGAGTGATAAGATCGCTCGCTGCTTTTGCTTCAAAGAGGACACAGGGAGAAACAAGGCTTCCAGAGGCACAGAATCTGGTTACCTTAAAGGCTAGGCTGGTTTAAGCTCACATGTGCCACTTGGCGCCAGGTAACTAATAAACTGGCACTGAGAAAAGCTGTCCTCTGGGAAGCTACAGGCTGAGTTGAGGCCGTGGGCTCACATCGGCCTCTCCATGTGCACTCCCACAACTCTGACTGAGGACTTTTGTGCCAAGGACAGAGCAGGACAGGAAATGAAAGCCCACAGCTACTTCCCATTAGTCTATGCTAAGTAACAGCTGTAAACAAAGACTGGGGCGTCAGCGGGAGCCCGAGTGGCCAACACACTAGCCATCCCAGCAGAAGAGGAAACAGGGCACCAGTGCTCCTTACTCCTGAGGAGCAGATGTTCCCCTGGGACCTAAGGCAGGGTCCCAGGAGAAAGCAAGGTCCTCCTGGGAGCTGTCCACAGAGGGAGCCCCACCCACTCCTCAAGTGCACAGGCAGAAGGAAGTATTCTAACTAGAAAGCCGAGATGGGTTTTGCTCTGGGCTAGTTTAAAAGATGAAGTCTAATACATTTGTTTTCAAACTGTCTGAAAACCTTTACAAACTTTCTTTTCCACAAGCTCTTCATTGCCATTCTCCTCCTCAGAAGTTTTCCTTTTTGCTCCTTTTCCTTCATTCTTTATGGTCTGGGAGATTGACACAGCAAGAGAACCTGGAAATAAAGCAGAAGTCAAGACAGAAACACAGCTGTAGACCATCAGAAAAAGTCACCTGCAGACGAGGCTCCACCCCACCCTAGAGACAGAATGCTCTCTCCAGCAAAGACAGTCAGAAGTAGTTAGGCCCAGGACCTCGAGGAGCTGGGGTGCACAGGCGGTGCTGTGGACCTACAATGGAGAACACCAAGTGATATCCAGGCCCCGAATCATCCTGGCCCTGAAAGAGGCTGTACAAGAGACTTCTTGGTAGCAAAAATGCACATATTCTTGGCCTATAGCATACACATGTTTTATATCCACAGATCCATACTGATAAATAGGGTCTTTGCAAAACCTGTAAACACATTGCCACATCCAGAATCAGCTCACAGAGTAACATGCCCCAGACCCTTGCTACAAGATAAAAGTCTGCTTTTCCCACTTGAGGGGGACGGACCTGAGCTTGAAGCCACACCTAATGGCCCCTGCAGTGCTTGTGTGCTGGGAATGAGGGACACCTAGGTTCAGAGACATGTCCCTTTAGGTCAGTACTTAACCTTCTAGCCTAGGTTTCCTCATCTACTACATGGCTGAGAACTCTGTCCCCTCAGAGGGCTGTTTGAAAGTCAATGAGGACAAAGTACACGAGCCTGCTATACCAAATGTCCAACACAAGAAAGTGCTATCCAAGTAAATGGTCTGCCTTTAGGTCTAAAGGTGTGCAGCCATTCATTCAGCATATGCTTTACCAGATAACTGAATCCTGAAGAAAAATAAAAAGATCCTTAGCTGGGTACGGTGGTGCACACCTATAATCCTAGCTACTTAAGAGGCTGAGGCAGAAGGATCACAACTTTGAAGCCACCTTTAGTAACTTAGTGAGACTCTATGTGTCAAAATAAAAATTAAAAAGGACTGGGGATGTAGCTCAGTGGCACAGTGCTTGCCTAGCATGTGAGGCCCCAGGTCCCAACCCCAGCACCACAAAACAGATCCTTTATGGGGTGTATTTCATGGCCTAGTACTTGGTCAATTTTCATAAATGGTTCTTTGCTGCTTCAGAAGAATGTGTGGTCTTCTCAAGAAATCCAAAATATTTGATGCAAGATTCTCTCCCCAAAAAATCAGGCTTGTTAATGGTGGTGGTTAAATCTAGTAATAGTTTATTTACTTACTAATTTGTTGTCTTTTATTAATTTACTAGTTCGTGGTCTTCTGCACTATGAACAACTAAGAGACAGCTGAGTTGACTCTTCCCTTCTACTTAACAGGGACAAAAAGAAACATTGCTGCGAGGGGGACCACAGAACAGTGCAAACAGGCCCGACACATGTGGGTCTGGCAAGAACATAGGCAAACCAGAGTAACAGACTTCAAAAAATGTGTAAAAGGTTAACAACTAAGTTAAGAGTAAACTGTTAGCTCCAACAGGCCGAGCCCCAATAAGTTAGTCCCCACAGTGACACAGCACTGAAGCACCTAGTTGCTGCTCCACGTGAGGGTGCTATGCACTCTACCACACCTGGGCTGCACTGCAATGCCACACCCTCCCAAACCCCAGTCACGCCTACACGGGACATCACCCTTACCTGACTCGCCACTGCCGGCAGGTGGGAGATCATCAAAGAGCAAAGGTCCCCCTGGTCCTGAAACACAGCAAAACACCCAGTGAGCTCACAAAGTGGACAGGCTTGAGTTTCAGAATCCATCCCACCAGGACACTATGTAGGTACTGGAATAAACTCAAAGCTCTCGTGTCAATCCAGTGGCCACTCACTGCAACAAATAACATCTTGAACCTATTTTAAAGTCCTATCATTGCAAAGGAAATAAAAATTCTGCCTTAAAACGTTGAACTTTTTTCAACTAGTAGAATAAGCACTCAAATGACCCAGAGGAAACTGCAACATTTTTACGCAGTACTTCTCAGGGCTAGCGACTAGCAGATTTTTCTGCCTTACCTGATGCCATGGATTCAAAACTTAAGACAGTCCAACACCTAAAACATCTGTGTGTTGAAAATGGGGGAAAGGGAGAAAGATTGAGACAACTACAATCCCAGGATGAGTAGAGACGTTGACACACACCTGGGAGAGCCTGAAGACTGTACCTGAGTCAGTACTGCTGGCCGGAGGGAGGTCCTCAAAAAGTAGGGATCCTTTCTGAGCTTCCTTCCCTGAAACACAGAACACCTGTTTAGAGCAGAGGATGGTCATCCAGGATGGACTTTCAAAGGGGACAGCAGTGTGCTCTCCCCCACTTTGAGTCAGGTTCAAATTCCTCCTTTCTGTTTGACAAACTTATTTTAAAAAATACTTCCTGGACAGTTGTTTAACATAGAGCTTTGTTTCCAGCAGTTACAGTCAACATAAAAGCAATGAATGATGCCCCAGAGGGCACTTTAAGGCCACTAGGTATTTGAGGAAAACAAGGTTTTTTCCCCCTGATAATTTCATTACTAAAAGCATCAAGTACTTAAAACACCTTCTCTAAAGAAGAATCTTGGGAAGAAAAAAAAAACTGATTTTAGACCAAAACAAGAAGAAAGAACTTCAGAAATAGTAAGCTTTCAAAGGCTCCATGTGTTAATAACCTATCACAACAAGACTGCAACAGAAGAAAATCCCTGCAACTTGGGGCCACCAGCCCCAACACAATCTCCGAGTCAATAAACATTTACAGAGAAGCCTAGACATTTTAGACAGTGGAAGACAACTGACCTCAGGAGAAAGCAAGCAAAATGTTTTATCTGAACTCTGAAAATTTACACTCCAAAAGTATGTCCTAAATATTCATGTCCCACTATCCCTGTCTACATAAAAGCCAACTGCCACTGCTTTCTCTCCAGCTTTTCTCCAAAATTCTATTTAAGCTATTACATATATGAACTAGCACATGAAAACATGGGGGAAACAGAGGGCATAAGATGGAAGAAGAGCAGTCCCCCTATCCTCAGCCTCACCTTCTAGTTCCAATTAACTGAAGTCAAACACAGTCCATAAGGATTAAATGAGAAATTACAGAAGTAAACAATTTCTGTTTTTAATTGTGTACCATTCTGAGTAGAAGAATGGAATCTTATGCCACCCTGCTCTTTCCTACCAGAGTTATGACTCATCCCTTTATCCAGTGTCTCCATGATCTATATGCTATTTGCCTATGAGTTACTTAGTCATGATTGTCACATAGTAGCCATCCTGGTTATCAAATAAATGACTGCTGCAGTATCACACTGCTTGTGTTCAAGTAACCCTAATTTTACTTAATAATGTCTCCAAAGCACAAAGTTTTATTACAATATATTGTTATAATTGTTCTATTTTATTTTAAGTTGTTGTTAATCTCTTACTGTGCCTAACTTATAAATTCAACTGTATTGTAGATACATATTATAGGGAAAAACAACGTACACAGTTCAGGACCACCTGAGGTTTTAAGCATCAACGGGGGCTCTTGGAACACACTCCCTAGATAAGAGGGATCTTCAGTACAGCACACTGACCTCCTATGAAGTTTGAGATGCAGGCCAAACACACAGGGTTTGTCTTGCTTCTTGATCTTCAGAGATGAATTATAAAAACACATTCATTTAAAACTGATTCACTCTAAGTTTGTATTCAAGATTTTCATCATATTATCTTTTTGCCTCCAAACAGAAATCAACTGAGTGTCAATTATTTTTTAAAAACAAAAATTTCAAGTAAAATTCTCTGAACTCCAAGGAAGGAAAATTCTCAAGGGGTCTTTAGGTTATAAGTATCAAATGCATGGATTCAAACCCATGCTCTTCATGAGGTGCACTACACGCCAGGACCTTTGTAGGGATTGTACAAAGATCTTCTCATCTTACCCATGCATCGATCCAAAATTATAACCTGGAGGCTCTACAAAATCTTTTGTATCATCAAGATAGTCAAACCAGCTGGGTAGGTGGTACATGCCTATAATCCCAGAAGCTCAGGAGGCTGAGGTAGGAGAATTTTGAGTTCAAACCCAGCCTCAGCAACTTAGGGAGGCTATAAGAAACTAAGTGAGGCTATCAGCAACTCAGTGAGACCCTGTCTCTGAATAAAATATAAAAAAGGGCTGGGGATGTGGCCCAGTGGTTAAGCACCCCTGGGTTCAATTCCAAGTACCAAAAATAAATAAACAAATAAAATAAAAATGATCAAACCAGAAGTTAGTATCTGGACTATCTAAAAGAAAGAAAGAAAGATCTGTTATAGATATATAAAGGGAACTTCTGATTAGTCAAAATCTTACATTCTATTTTGGATACACAGAATTGGGGAATGCTATCATTGGACAAAATGTGACCTTATCCCAAAACTTTGAAAGAGCACCCCTAGATCTGAATATAAAAACCCTAATAAAGAATGAAACAAAACTGAAAATGTTTTTCATTACAATTAATCTCACCTAATTTTTTGTTACTGACTTTCTGATGCTAAGTCTACTGGAAGTTATATGACACTGCTGTGCAAAGCTACTCTAGGGCTGGTCACATTCAGTTAGTTAAAGGTTGCTATATACAAAAAGAGATCTTTTAAAATTTGCCTAAATTGTGTGTGTGTGTGTATGTTTTTTCTCTTTATATATCTGAATTTTCTTTCCAACTACAAAAAGCAACATAGGTGTGTTTCCTAAATACCACAGAGGCACTACCAAAGGGGGAGGGAAAGGTGGGGAGTAAGGGTCTGGCTCCACCACAATCCCAGCCATAGCAACGCCTCAGAGCTCACTCCCACTCCTCTGGGCTCCACCCCACATCGATCACTCAGGTACCCATCAGGGAACGCCCAGAAGCCAGCACACCTGTGTCTAACTCACTCTGACAGCTGCATGCTATTCCACATGGGAAGTAGCTGTATTCATTTGTCAAGTTCCCTTACTGATGGGCATTCAGGCCATTTTCTAGTTCTTCACATGACAAATGATGCCATGACAGTGCCAATAACATGATACATGCCTGCTGTCCCAACTACTTGGGAGGTTGAGGCAAGAGGACCACAAGTTTTAGGCCAGTCTGAACAATGTAGTGAGACCATGCCTCAAAAATTTTAAAATAGGGGTGAGGATGCAACTCAGTGGTAGGGTTCTTCAACAGCATGTGATAGGCACTGGGTTCAATTCCCAGTACGGGGGGAGGGGGGAGGGAAGCCACACAATCTTACACATATAAACTTACTTAATCTAGTCAAAGAGAATTGAACCAAGGGGTGCTCTATCATTGAGCTATATTCCCAAACCCTTTTTATTTTGAGACAGGGTCTCACTAAGTTGCTGAACCTAGCCTCGAACCAGTGATCCTTTTGCCTCAGCCTCCTGAGCCACTGAAATTATAGGCATGTGCCACCATGCCTTGCTGAGTAGTTTAAATTTGACAGCCACCAAAGTGTGTCCCCAAAAAAGTTGCAGTAACTTCCACTCCCAGAATACATTTTATGAGAAAGGCCATTTACTAACACCTGCATGAGTGCTACCAATTTTTGCTAAGCTGTGGGTGGAGAAATATACCATATCAGCGATGTGACCTCTCCTTCCTCAGTGCCCAGAGAAACAGCACTCTTATAGGAAAAGGACATGTCCTCTGACTATTTTTGTAATGGGATATCTTTGTCTTCTTTAACTCCTTTTCTTCTTAATCCTTTCACTTATTGAGTATATTGATTTTGTAATGTACACTATAGTTATTTTCTTGACTTTGCCTTTTGCCTTTGTGGTATATTCTGTCCTGCAAAAACTTTAACTTTCTGTCAAATTCATTTTATTTTTTTATAACTTGAATTTTTCCCTGCAGTTTTATAATTAATCTGTTTTATTCTAATATCTTCACTTTTTTAAAAAAATTAGTTTTTAGTTATATGGAGACAATATCTTTATTCTATTTTTATATGGTGCTGAGAATCAAACCCAGTGCCTCATGCATGCTAGACGAGCACTCTACCTCTAAGCCACAACCCCAGCCCTAATATTTTCACCTTTATATTGATATATCCAATTGTTTTAAAGAAGTATTTTTAAGATGGTCTGCCAGGCAAATACTTCGTCCTCCACAGATGACCCTCAGTTTTGTTTTGGGTGCTGGGGATGGAACCCAGGGCCTCAGCATGCTAAACATGAACTCTACCACTGAGCTACACCTCTAGCCTGACCATCAGTTTCAAACTTGCTGGTGTAACAACAAAGTCAACCTCCATTCCTATAAAACTGAAACTGAGTTATTACCAAAACAATTTTAAGTCAACATTTTTATGAGTATGGCACAGAAAAATTCCATTTCTGTTTCACATAAATATCTTTCTCTTAGGTAACAGATCAAGTTTTAAAAAACTTAATGAGCAATCAAAACCTTTTAAGGGCAGGGATGAAAACTATTAATTTAGTACATTATCTGAAACATTTAGTGCACTCTTTCTACATTCTTTCTCAAGATCATTAAAACTTAAATTTTGTAGTAGAAACATTAGAAGCGATGCTGAAAACAAAACCAAAAATCAAAAGAACACAACACACTTGGTGTGACCTGAGCAGTGTATAACATTCTACCTTTGGACACTTAATGCTTTTACAAAAGCCATTTAAGATTGCTCCCCCAGCTTTAAGCAGCTGAGGTTAATAGCTCATGTGACAATGGCTAACATCTGCAAAGTACTTTCAGCTCCATCCTGCACCATGAGTGCCACACACTTTTACCTACATGATGACAGAAGTTGTCACTCCTGAGCTAGGGCTGTAGCTCAGTGGTACAGTGCTTGCCTAGCATGTATGAAGCATTAGATTTGATTCTCAGCACCACATATAAATAAATAAAATAAAGGTCCATCAACAACTAACATAAAAAAAAATAATGAAGGTGTCACCCCCTTTTATAGATGCAGGAACAGCCATAGAAAGCATAGGGTTAGTAAGTGAAGAGTGGGATTTGAAACCAGTCTGGTTACACCTCCCGAACATTACTTCTGGGGACTGTGAAAATGACCAGGTTTTTCACATTGCCTGCATCATCCACATATCAGGTGTGAGGTCATGAAACAGTACAGCCTCATCCTTCACCCACATTAGCAGTTAATATGATTTACTGAAACAAAGTGTGATTTGTAATTAATTTATTTTGAAAAAACAAGTATTTTTCCAATAATGTGAAATCTGATTCTGTTCTCAAATGATTTTTTTTTAAGGTCAAATCTCATCTTTAGGTTTTTAACCATCAAGATTACTGGGTTCCAATTCTGTCACTCACTTTAAAACTTATCCCCTAGCTTCCTACAACCTAGGAATTCTGAAAGTATGACTTCTTGGTTTTAAAGCTATTTGTAAAAATAGTCACAGGGTCTGTGACGGCGACAGTGTCCTGGCAGAAGGGACTACTTCACTAATGCACTCCCAGGGGAGGAGGCTGAAACACCTGCAGCCCCTCTGCCGCCTTGTCAGCAAGGTCTAGAAGCAGAATTTGGGAAAGAAAAAAAAAAATCAGTGGCAGGATGCACCCTCCTCACTATTACAGGCTGCTAAGTGACAACTTGTAAGACTTCGAGTGGTCAGGTTTTGTCACATCATGGGGCCTTCCTCTGAGAGCAGACCCAAACTAATTTCGGGTAAAAAGTAGTAGAGACTAAAAAAGGTCCCAGCTTGACAGCCACACCTATGCATCTGACTGCCCCAAACACATTCGGATACAAATCACGCTCCACCGACGGCAAGGGTCTGCCCTCCACTGTAACTGCAGCTGTCCCAAGAACAGACGCCGAGCGCGGTCCGCAGCAGCAGGGAACAGTCCTTCAGACTCCACTGCATCTCCGGGACGGCCGGCCGGAAGGACGGTGCCATTACCAGGTGCCACAGCAGACAACTTCTCGCAGCCGCGGCGAGGAGCCGGACCCAGGCCCGCCGGCCGCCCTCCGCCCCCGCACCCCGC